GCCAGGCCCCTCCGAGCCCCCAGCCGCCTTCCGCCCCCGAGAAGTGAATTCCCTTCCGCAGGTGGGGGAAGGCCGGGCCCATCGGAAACGGAGGCTTCTGCTGGCCTTGTTTTCCTCCTCACTCTGTGACGTGGATGATGGTCTTGGGGGAGGGAAAGAGAAGTATGGGGGTTTTTAACACTCGTCAGTTCAGGTGTGTTTAGGACGAGCACTGTGCCTCGGGTGGACTCTGTTAAACAAGTTAATCCCAAGACTCAGTTCCGAGAGCTGATTCTGCTGCCGGCTGCGGGCCTGACATTCCTGCTGTGCTCCATTTATGACAGCAGCTAGTGGAGCTCTGACGAGGGTCTGGTCAGCGTAGCTCTGTGGATTGTTTTGGCATCCCTGCCAAAGTTCAGAAATAATATGTTCTTTAGAAGGAGTAAGGGCTGTTCTTAGACATGGGTACCCCGGGAGCTTGGGGCGAGTTTCTGGGACAGATGGTTAGTATTTCTACCTGTCACCTATTACAGCCTTGGAGCAATGTCCTGAGACATCTCTTTTGATTTCACATGTCGAGTGGTCCGGCTTTTAGGTCTGGCGTTTTGTAGTTTAAGAGGCTTAATGAACTGAGGAAAAGTGTCCTCATTTGGTATGACATGTACTGAAGTTATGTCCACTTGCAGAAAGAGGTACATTTTATCATCTTGGTTTTAGGTGTTAAGAGTTCTTGGGTTATTTCTCAAGATAAACCCATGTTTGTGCTTTTGAAAGTTGGGAGATATTTGTTTTTATGTTATTAAACTTAGCATTTCAGAGAATGAGGACTCTTAACATCCAAAATTTTGATCCTGTGAGGGGATTCTTTTAAACCCAAGCCTTTTAATTTTCGCACGTTCTTTCTCTCCAGTGGTTCTGTCACCGTCATTCTTTATTTTCACTGTTAGAACTTTAGAGCAGTCTCACCTCGGTGCTGGTTTTGTTTGCCTGGTTTGTTGACTGAGACGCATGACCCTGAGGAGGTACAATGCCATGGAAAGAGCACAGGGCTGATTATGGTGCTCTGACTTGGCCTGGTCTGGCCTGCAACTTGGCAATTGTGACAGGGAAGCTACTACCTTTCCGCCGGCCCTGGTTATTCACGGCCAGCTGAGCTCCAGCTCTGCACAGGGCCCTCGTGTGGCCACCATGAGAAGGACGTGTCCAAAGGGCACTGTGAACTCCAGCCCGCCGGCTGTCTGCAAATGTGTTGGCGTCTCTCCAAATGTGGTGACGCCTCCTGCCTTCAGTGTGGTGTGTAGGGGTGCTGGGTGTTGGCTCTTGCCTGATGTGTCATGCTGGGTCCACACCCTCGGGCAAGAGAGAGTGGGAGGTGTCCACGTGGCGTGTGGCAGAGAATGGTGAGCAGGAGGGAGCTAGCACAAACTTTGGTTTTGCTTTAATCTTTGACAGAAAAGAGATGCCTCTTTCCTGACTTCAGAAAACCTAGTGGTCCTGGACTTCTAGATCCAGGACATGGCCTTGAGGAGGGAGGACTCCCCTGGGGAACACACCTCCACTGCTTACAGTTAAAGAGGAAATGCAGGAGAAATGTGGGACAAAGTACTGACGTCCCCCCACCCCTCCCCCTCAGTCTTTAACCCGCACCTGACCTTTCGCAGGAAAGTGCATCTTAGCATAGTGGAGGAGGGCAAACTGATGCCAGGCACACGCAGCCAGCTCCCGCCACTTACAGAGTGCTGTGTTCTGCACATCCAGCCACATTTGTACCAGGGGTGGACAAGCTTTGGACATGGCACTCAGTCATGGGCTGGAGGGAGAGGTGGCCTGAGGCCTGGGTCCTCTGCCCCCAGGCTGGACGCTACCTTCTCCACTCATGGGGTGTTCTGGACCAGAGGTTCACTCACATCCCATGCTGGGGCTGGGGCTGGCCCCGCCCCCTGCCAGCTTTTACTTTTGTGGTGTGAGTTTTCCTAGTTGTGAATCCAGCAGGCCAGCAGGGTAGTCTGAACGTCATTATAGCTAGTAGAGCCACAGAGAAACACAGGGGCTTTCTCTTCAGCCTAAGCCTTGTGCTGCTATCCCCGGGAGGGCCCCTGTGTGTTGGGGTGAGTCTGGTGTCTGTAGGCCACACTGTCTTTCAGCTCCAGGTCTCAGGACAACCCATTGGAGGGCATCCTACTGATCCTCCGCTGGTGTCGGGGCACGGGACAAAGCCTGCCGACTTTACTGGGGAGGTAGAGGTACAGACGGTCCTGGCTCCCTCTCGTTGGAAGTGATTAGTCCAGTCCAGCCTGTCACCTTTTAGGTGGGAACTGGGACTTAGCAGACAATCCATGTGTGTCATATAAAGACTACCTCTTGCTGCAGATTCCACCATTACAAGGCAGCCTGTTGATAAGTGACACAGTCTTGGTGGTACATGAAGCTTAAGCCAAGAGACGTCAGTGATTACATGGACTTTCTAGTCACTGCCCCAGCTGTGGCCAGGGCGTCCTGGAGGGTGGAGCTGACCCCTTCAGCGGGCCGTTCCCCTGCTTGGGTTTGTACCAGGGCCTGTTTAGCTGTGGCGTAATTGTTAGTCACATCGTGTGCTGTATTGTCTTTGAGCTGTCAGTTTATGCACATCGTGGTTTCCAGTGTCCTCTGCTTGTGAAGTTGCTCAATTGTGAGCTTAACGAGTCTGTCTTTCTCCTTGGCAGCACCATGGCCAGCCCCAGAACCAGGAAGGTCTTGAAGGAAGTCAGGGTGCAGGATGAGAACAACGTGAGCATCTGCTTGGCGCTGGTGTCTGTCACAGTGTGGCTGCGGTTCTGTGTCCTCCTTGCTGTGATGGCTGTTGGCGCAGCTCTCCACGTGCATGACTGGTGTTGGCCCCCGGCATGGGTGAACGGTGATCAGTACAGCGGCGGCCATGCTGGCACTCATTGTGCTGGGGGTGGGGACGCCTACCCCGTTTCTCAGAGCACATGGCTCCAAGGATGGGCTCTCTTGTCTTCTTCTGTCTGAATGTTTGCCTACACGAGGGCTCTTTCCCTCCACACTTTGCATTCACCCATGCCCTGGCCACACCACTCAGCCCTGTTGGCTTATCTACCCATGCTCTTGTCCAGGTCTGGCATGTGCTACCTGCCTCTCTTGGGGCCACCTGTCAGATCCTGGGGTGCCTGGGCTCTGCCTGGGCCAGCTGGTGAATTGCTTGTGGCCCCTTTGCAGGTCTGTTTTGAGTGTGGAGCATTCAACCCTCAGTGGGTCAGCGTGACCTATGGCATCTGGATCTGCCTGGAGTGCTCGGGAAGACACCGTGGGCTGGGGGTGCACCTCAGGTCAGTGTCCTGCCACCAGGCCCTGCGGAGTGCCCAGGCTCACCTAGCATCTGTTGTACGGCACCTCCTGCTGCCAGCAGTGTGATGCCAGGAAGCCCAGGGGCTGCTCACTCGTCATGTTGCTGGTGTCTACTCCAGTGACACTACGGTGCAGGTTTCAGCCAGCTGGCCGCTCAGCCTCTGTATGGTTGCTTCTGGCTGTGTCTCATTCACAGCCCAAGTTTGGGTGGGAGTTCCTGGCTGTTCCCAGCACCAGGTCACTCGGTCAGGCCTCTGGTTTCTAGCTTCGTGCGCTCTGTGACCATGGACAAGTGGAAGGACCTGGAGCTGGAGAAGATGAAAGCGGGTGGGAACGCCAAGTTCCGCGAGTTCCTGGAATCGCAGGAGGATTACGACCCCTGCTGGTCACTACAGGAGAAGTACAACAGCAGAGCCGCTGCCCTCTTCAGGGATAAGGTAGAGACAGGCACCGACTTGCTCCTGTCCCTGGCATGGGGTCGCTCCACCATTCATGGGGGCTGGACTGTGGTCTTTTTTTTGAGTTGGAGTCAAACTCTGTCGCCTAGACTGGAGTGCAGTGGCCACTCCTGGCTACTGCAGCTTCGACCCGCTGGGCTCCGGCGATCCTTCTGCCTCAGCCTTCTGAGCAGGAACGTGCTACCACGTCCGGCTGATTTTTGATTTATTGTAGAGATGAGGTCTCGCCAAGTTGCCCAGGCGGGTCTCGAACCGGCGGGCTCAGGCAATCCACTCACCTCGGCCTCCGAAAGTGCGGGATTACAGGCTGAGCCACCGAGCCTGGCCCGGACTGTGGTCTTTAGTGGTTCTAGGAGTTGAGGTTCCTCCATCAGTTTTTTTCTTTTTTGAGTTGGGGTCTCAGTCTTTCACCCAGGCTGGAGTGCAGTGACATGATCACGGCTCACTGCAGCCTCGACCTCCTAGGCTCAGGCGATCCTTGTACCTTAGCCTCCTGAGTAGCTGGGACTATAGGTTTGTGCCACCATACCCAACTGACTTTTTGATTTTTTTGTAGAGGTGAGGTCTTGCTGTGTTGCTCAGGCTGGTCTCGAACTCCTGGGCTCTAGCAGTCCTTTCACCTCGGCCTCCCAAAGTGCTGGGACTACAGGCATGAGTCACTGCACCTGGCTCTTCATCAGTTCTGATACCCCCATTGACACCATGCACTAGGATAGAGAGGAACACATGGACCTTGCCACCTTGGAACAGGGTCTTCCTACCCAAAGAGACGACCAATGGCCTGTAATTACCAGGGACAAAATATAGACCTTCCCAGCCTCCATGGTACCTTTGTTCTATCTGGGTCCAGGACTTCTGAGACAGTCATGAGGTCTGTTTGCCCGGGGAGGCCAAGTGAGGGAGTTCCTGTGGGTTTGAAGTTGTAGCTGCACCGACAGGGCCTCACCAGCATGGCTGTGTGTCACATCACAGTGTGAGGCCAGGGCCAGGGCCTGCAAGGAGGCTATATGTGGTGGTGCTCCCAGTGGACTTGGGTGGGACTGGGTGCATTGTGGTGGAGTAGACAGTGTCTGTGGGCATCACTGCCAACTCCATTCTCTAACCACCTGTGTCCCCTTGTCAGGTAGCCACACTGGCTGAAGGCAGAGAGTGGTCTCTGGAGTCATCGCCTGCCCAGAACTGGACCCCACCTCAGCCCAGGACGCTGCTGTCCACTGCTCCCCGGTAGCTCCTCCCTTGGCCATTGGTCAGGCCTGTCCTTAGCTGTGGTTCTAGATCCCCATGGAGACCTGGCTTCTGCTGTCCTTTAACAGCCCTGTCTCTGAGCCACTCCCACCCTTGGGAAACAGCTTCTTAAAATTGCTGAGGCAATACAGGCTTTAGCAAAATTCCAACCAATAAGGATCGGTCTAAAGTAAGAGATAGCATCTCCCTGCTTCTGAAGATAGCTCCTCCCACCTTCCAGATGTGTGTGCCTGGCACACTGCAGCCAGGAGCCATGGCATGGCAGGGATGTGGATGGTGTTTCATGTGTCCATGATCACAGTGTGTGGTTACTGCCTTTTGTGTTACCTGACTTCCCCTAGTGCACACCCCATGACAGCTGAGCCTGTCCCCATAGTGGACGCATCCTTTGTCCTGTGTGGAGGCAGGTGTGGAGTGACTCGGTCACAGAAGTTGCCCCCCTCACTTAGAGCCTCGTGGCCCTGTGCCCCCTGGGTTCATGTCTGAGTACCTCTGGTGAAAGACCCCATACTGCTGGTGAATTCTTGTTTCCCAGCCCCTGTCCCTCCTGCCCCACCCTCCCAGTGACAAAGTGGGTACAGAACCAGCTATCTGAGGCTGGCTTGGCCGGAGGGTGGGGGGTAGCAGCTGAGCCTGAGCAGCCTTGGACAGAGCTTTAGGCTGGCCTGGCGACAGGCACTCTCAGGTGAAAGGGAGGCACCTCCTATGGAGATCAGGTGGTTCTAGGAGCATTGCTGGGGCTGCAGGGGCCTGGCTGGTGTCTGCTACACACTCGGCCCAGTGTGGGCTTTAGCGACCTTTGACCCTGGTTTCAGAGGCCCTGGTCAGCCACAGAATGTGACCGCCTCCCCAGACAAGGCTTTCGAAGACTGGCTGAATGATGACCTTGGCTCCTATCAAGGGTAAGGCCTGTGAGTTGGGGATACCTCTGCAGGCTGGCCCACAGGTTCTGAGCTTCTCTTGGGGGCTGCACCTGGTCTTTTGTGGGTGGCGGGTATGTTCCCTGATTGTGCCAAGTTCTGGCCACCAATTCAGGTTGGAATTGGGGTCTTGAGTGTAGAAAAAAATCTCATGTTTAGTAAGAAAAGGAAATGCATTTTTTTTTTCCTGGAATCTGCTTAACCTGCAACTAAGTTTTTATCCCCTAAGATACTGGATTAAGCCCTTTTGATCCTTTTTCTGTACCTCTGGTTATGGGTCTGGGTTTTGCGGGGACCCTCTCGTGATATGTCAAGAGGGGTCTTTCTAAATCTGCAGAGGAGGCCTGGCTCTGTGTCCCAGGAGCCACCAGGTTCACACTGTCGCGGGTGTAGTGTATGTGCCTGTGCACGTGCCCCACAAGGTCAACCCTACCTCTGCCCACGTTGTCTTTAGGGCAGCAGGATTTGTGCCACTTACTTGTCTGTGCTTGGATTCCAGGGCCCAGGGAAACCGTTACGTGGGGTTTGGGAACACGCCGCCACCCCAGAAGAGAGACGATGACTTTCTCAACAGTGCTATGTCCTCCCTGTACTCGGTGAGGAGGGTGGGCTGTCCCTGGGGACATGCACAGTCTTGTTCTGGCTTCAGGCCCTCCCTCACCACAGTGGAATTTTACGAATGTGGCTTAAATGTTTTAGATCCCAGATGTTCTTGGTCACATTGGATTCCACAGTGCACACATCCCCCAAGGGCTGCAACTTTTGTGTAGCCTGCATGGTCATCCTCTCTGAGTACTGGGAGCTGTGGGCACTGTGCCCTGGGCTGGCATGCCCCACCTGCTCTTGACGTGTCTCTCTGAAGTGCTTGGCTGCTCTGTGTCCGATGGCCAGAGCAGAGGCCCCCAACTGGCTGCCACTGTCCCAGCCATGAAGTACATTTTGCCAAACATTCCTTTTCCAGGGAAACTTCTGTCATTTTTAGAAATGATTTTGCTCACTGCAGCATTGCCTATGCTGCTGATCATGGCAGCAGCTGGAGAGCTTCCCAACCCTGTCACCGTGTGCCAGGAGATAGGGCTGCTTAACGCTAAAACTGCTGGGTGTTTTGTATGATGAGCCCTTGGACTGCATCTAGTAAAGACAAATGGGTTTACCACAGGTGTCTTCACCTGAGATGGCGCCACCACTGGTTGCAAGTGCAGCTGAAGAGCCCTTGCCACTTGGGCAGCCTGGTGGGCACGGGCCACCACAGTGACTTTCTTTGTGGTCATGACCAAATCTTCTAGGGGAAAGCCCATTGGGGGTTGGGCTGTTGGTCTCTTCTAAGGCTCCTTCTGTGATGCTGTTTTCATGCTGTGTCTCCCTCCCTCTGCTGGTCACTGACTCTCTAAGATGATGGGGGCTCTTGGTCAGTTCTTGGGGGCAGGCTCTGCCTCACTTTTAGGAGGAGGGGGGTCAGGTTGTGACTTAAATGAGGTGTTCATCCTTCTAAAGAGCTTTAGTTTACCTCGGGAGCCTTGGGAGGAGACGACCTTGAATGTAGAAGAAGGCAAGGGCGTCAGGGGCCACAACCCCACCAACCCACATCCATCTGGGAGGGAGGAGGGCATGCTAGTGGGACTTCTCTGCAGTATGAACCTGGTTCTTGCACCCTTCCTCTCCAGGGGTCGGAAGGGTGGTGGGTAGTCACGTTATGTGTCACGTACTGCAACTGGCAAGAGGGTGAGACGATGTGCCCAGTGCCCAGGCTGGCTCCTGGAAGGACTGCTGTCTCCTTACAGAAGTGGATGCCGTACAGGTCTCTGAGGCACCTCTGGGGTCACCTTTTTAGCTGAAATGCTCTGTGGAAGCATCAGTTCCTGGGTCAGAGCACACCTGTTTTGTGGGGACTGGATATGGCCATGTGTGGTACCTTGATGTGGCTGTTCTCTGTCTCCTCCTTCAGGGCTGGAGCAGTTTTGCCACTGGAGCCAGCAAGTTTGCCTCGGCAGCTAAGGAGGGTGTAAGTAACCATCATGGGACACATGCAGGCCACACGGGGTGCCTCTGACTTGGGATTCTGGGAGCCATGGAAGGGACATGGGACATGGAGTACCAGGGGCTCTCATCACAGACTTTGGTGCCTGCGGGAGCACACAGCCCCCGCTATGGCAGGAGACATGCTGCTGGCAGGGGTGTCCTTACCCTGATGAGTGCAGGGGGCAGGTATGACCCCAGTTTCTTTCCAGGCCCCATCCTGGCCCGGGGAAATAGGCCATGGGCACCTTGTGCCCCTGGAGTTTCTTCAGATGTGTTTTGATGTTAGGTTTCTCTCCCACTCTGGCTGCTGCTCAGCCCAAAGTGAGGGGAGGCTTTGAGATTCTGTCAGGGAGAGGTGGATCCCCAGGCAGTGACCTAAGCAGGTTCTGGCGGTGTGATCAGGCCCGAAACCTGAGTTTGTGGACCCTGGGACCGGGCCATGTGACTGTGGTATGAGAGAAGCTAGAGCCCAGAGCAGACAGAGGTCACCTGGCCAGGTGCCTGCAACCACCCAGACAGCCAGGGCCGCCTGTGGGTCACTTGGCCCTGTCTTCCCACTTCTGTCCTGGAGTGGTGTCCAGGGCTCCAGCTCTCATGTACCGTGGCTTTGCCAAGTGGCTGCTGCTGGTTCCCACCAGGGCCTCTGTGTCCTTGTTTCTAAGGGAGATCCGCAGCAGGGGAGATCCAGGTACCTTTCAGCCAGAGTGTCCTGGCTAGGCCTCTCCTACTCCCTGCAGTGAAGTGATGGGGCACTGTGTGTCACTGTACCTGGACCGTCCTGGACATGGAACCCACCCTGCATCGGGGATAGAAAGCTGGGGCAATGGCAGTACTCACAAAAAATACTGCTGGGGTGGCTGCCTGAGCCTGTGTCTTCTACCCCTACAGTCTGGAGGATGGGTTGGCCCTGCTGTGCCCAAGTGTGGCACAGGTGTGCTTCTGGCCCCCATGGTGCATTGCACTGGCCTCCTTCCAGGTGAGCTGGCTTTGTACTGACCCAGGCCCTGCAGCCCCTTGGGCATCTCGGAGCTGTTTGGATCCTTGGAGCCGCTGGTAGCTTGGGGACCATGGAGAGGTGGTCTAGGACAAGGGTCCATTGAGTGTTGCAGGGAGGCAGTCTGGTGGTCTGCATTAAGACCACTGACTCAAAAGCCCTGCCTTTGTTTTTTTTGTTTCAGGCTACAAAATTTGGATCTCAAGCAAGTCAGAAGGTAATAGGGAAACTTTTGTTCCAGTGCGTTTTAAATGCTCCTGCATGTCTGACATCCATGAGGGCTCCAGAGCTGTGTGTCCCCCCTTCTCGGGCCACACGCCCAGGGCCTGAGGGGTTCCCATGTGGAAGGGAGGGAATGTTTCTGCAGTGCACCACAGTGTGTTTCCTCTTCATGCCAGTGTGGTCACCTCACATGCCTGCTCAGGGCCTGCAGGGCCAAACCCTGCAAACCCATGGGTCGGCAACTATGCAGGTATGAGGCCATGTGCCACGGTCAGGCAGGGCTGCCTGGCTCAGCAGAAACACCACACCAGCCACGGCCACTCAGCAGGAGGAGGTGTCCATTGGCCCTGGCCAGCGCGTTCTGTTGTGGACGGTGGTGGCTTGTCTTGGCCATAGCATGTCTTTTTCATGCCCGGGGTCCCTCTGGTTCCCATGCGACCAGGGTGATGGGAGGCCTTCCATGAAAGCTCAGAAATGCAGGCGTGAGCTGGGGTGACTTTTCAGGACATGCTCTGGGCAAGGGGTCAGTTCTTACAGATGCCTACCGTCACCCCTGAATCCCTTCTCATCTCTAATGGGATCTTTCCACCGGACCCACCCCTGGTAGCCAGCCACAGGGACGCCCATTTCTGCCTTTGTCTTGGAGTCTCTGTTTCAGCTTCCTGAATTGCACTCACGCTTGCAATTTGAAATGTGGCAGATTTGGAACAGAAAAGAGCAGCTCCAAGTCACACCGATGACAGCCCCACCTGGGTACTACCCCTGAACCTGTGGCCAGGTGGCCCAGATGTTGCCTCTGGAGCCCTATGGCCGAGTGCCCTGGGTGCTGCCCATGGAGCCCTGTGGCCAGGTGGCCTGGGTGTTGCCCCTGGAGTCCTGCAGCTGCATTGCCCAGGTGCTACCCCTGGAGGCCTACAGCTGCATGGCCTGTGTGTAGCCCCTGGAGCCCTGCAGCCATGTGGGTATTGGGAGGTGCACCTGGTTGTTGCTAACGCCACTCCCACCTTGCTCTCTCCTAACCTGTCTCCCTGCCATCACGGCAAAGTTCTGGGGCTACAAGCAGCAGCCAGAGCCGGTAAAGCCCACGTCTGCGTGTGCATGCCGCCCATCTGAATGTGCTTTGCCCTGCCGCCCCCACCCTGTGCTGCCTGTCATTTCACCTCACATGTGTATACCCAGACCCTCCCTTGCCTGTCACAGGCCGTAGGGCTCCTCTAAAGTCCAGGACCTGCACCAGGCACAGTGATTCACATTAATCCCATCTACTCAGGAGGCTGAGACAGGAGGATTGCTTGAATCTAGGAGGTTGAGGCTATTTAGAGCTGTGATCACGTCATTTACTCCAGCCTGGGTGACAGAGACCTTGTCTCTAAAACACAACTCGGGACCAAGAGGTGCTGCCTGTGGAGGGGCTGGGCAGGCCTGGGAGCCGTGGCTGTGGGCAGCTTAGCCAGGCATCCCTCATGGCCTCCTTGTTTAGACAGAGGCTGGCTTGGGGACAGGTTGGCCTCTGTCTAATGGGAGCCCCCATCCACGGGTCAGTCTGTGTCTAGGGGAGTCCAAAGGCATCTTTTCCTGATGAGGGTCCCTCCTGCATTAAAGGAGTTTCTCTTTGGAGAATCTCTAGTTGGTGCTTTGCTATGGGGGGGAAGAGGAAGCCCTCATACCATGCCCCAGGCAGTTTGTGCCCTGGGGCCTAACCCCATGGTGACATCAGGACCAGCAGGGGACAGACTGTTCCTGAGTGCCCTTCCTTCCAAGTGGGCCTTGGCGTGGGCTCCATGAGATGTATTCCCACGAGCATGGCTAAGCATGAGGGGGACTCCGAGGGAACTCTCTGCTGCCCTGCAGGCCCTTCCTGTGAAAGTGTGTGGGACCCATGGTTTCCCAGCCTCCTGTGAATGGCAGCACTAGGTGTATCCGGGTGTCATCTGCCCTGTGTCCCCGTGCCCCGTGCACTCCCGTCCTGCTGCCTTTCCTTCCGCTGACAGATCTCGCACTGCCTGTGATGGGCCTTTGTGCCATGGGCTGACCTGGGTGCCATGTGGCTGCTGCTGTGGGAGCTCATGCAGTGTCTCTTCCCGCAGGCTTCTGAGCTGGGCCACAGCCTGAACGAGAACGTCCTCAAGCCTGCTCAGGAGAAGGTACCAGGTGGTAGCTGGGCAGTGGGGGCAGGAGTGCTGCCTGTGCCTCCTGCCTTCCACTGGGGGTGAGGGGCTCTGTCTGTCCAACAGTCAGACTCAGGAGTGGCCTCACCCCACTGCCTCAGCACAGGTGTCCCCTCCCCTTGCCTGGGGCCCGCTGACCCCCTTGCTCAGCTAGATCCCTCCCACTCCAGTGGCCCTGGCCATCGTGTGAAGTGCCAGCCTGTCCTTAGGAGGCTGTGGTTGACACGGAGACCATTGAGAGACAGCCTGGGTAGCTCTTCGGGTGCCCCTGGGAGCCCAGCTTAGACTGGCGGGGAGGGCTCCCCCAAGGAGGGGAAGGGCCTCCTCAGTGTGCATGGTCTTTGCATCTGCAGTGCTCAGCATTTCAGTGATATCTTACAGTGCTGAAATCCCTTTGGGGCCACTGTAGAACTTTCTGGAATTTAGCATGACAGAGGCTTATGTACACCATGGTTGTTCTGGACACCTTACTGGGAGCTTCCCCACCCTTCCCGAAGCTCTAACAGGCCCCTTCCACCCTCTCATGTGGCCATCTTCCCTGTGCAGGTGAAGGAGGGGAGGATTCTGGATGATGTGTCCAGTGGGGTCTCTCAGTTGGCATCCAAGGTAGGGAGCCCGCTGGATGCGGGCACTGTGAAGCCAGTCTCCATGTTCCATGGCCTGACAAGGGCACACGGGCTGGGGAGGTGCCCAGGGGCTTGGCAGTGGTGCTGTCCTCAGCCTTGAGGGCTGCTGGGTGCCCAAGGCCTAAGGAATATGGAAACGGCTTGATGGGGGCAGCTTAGGCACTAACTGTCGCTTCTTCTGCCCTTGTTGCTGCCACTGGCCTCGCCCTGGGTAAGTGCTGAGCTGCCTCCAGGCTGCTGCCACCACAGGGCCTGCGTGGGTCATGCATGGGGACAGACAGGGCATAGGGCTCCTGATTTCTGCCTTGAGGGGCAGCCATGTCTGCTAGAGCCCTCCTTGCCCTTCCCACTTGTGGGTGTGAGCCCTCATGCTCTCCATGCAAGGTGGCTGTGCTGCTGTGTTGCTGTGTGTTTCTGAATGTGCACATGTGAGCGCAAGGCACCCTTTTCTAGACTTCATGGGTCTCAGCAGGATGCTGTCCATGGACTGCTATCTGAGTGGGGCTTGGCTAGCCTCTCCCTTCTTCCTCCAGGTCCAGGGAGTTGGCAGCAAGGGATGGCGGGATGTCACCACCTTCTTTTCTGGGAAAGCGGAAGACCCCTCTGATAGGTATGCTGTGTCCCCTCCCAGAGTGTGTATGCTGTCCTACCAGGGACTCTCCAAGAAGGAGCAGCATCCCTGTGGGGGAGGAGCGGAGCAGTGCGGGTCAGAGCCTACTTTGTAGAAAGCTCTCTATCTGCCTGCCTCATCTGCTGGCTCCTCACACCCCTTGCTGGAGCTGACACCGCCCCAGCTGGGGACGGAGGGGTGGACAGGGGGTTGACCCTGCTCTGTGATCTGTTGTCTCCCAGGTTCCGGTGGGCAGAGCGGGCAGGCCCCAGAGGCAGGAGGCCTAGAGGCCTCAGAGACCCATCCCAGGTACCCTGGGCACTTCTGCTGAGGCTGGCAATCTTATCCTTTGGCCCCCATGCGAAGCAAGGAGGATCTGTTGTGGCTTGGGTGGGAGCCATGGCCCATGACATTCACCTGAGGACCAGGGGTCTCCTGGGGCCAGAACATTTCCCTGCACACAGTGTGATGCCACGGCTCACCCTCCTGACGTGCTCCTTGGTGTTCCACCAGCTGCAACTACAGCTGAGGGTAGAAGCCATATCCGAGGCCAGTCTGTTATCCCCAGGCCCACCTATGTCTAAGGGGGACCCCTGTCCCCAGGCTGGCCTGTGTTTAAGGGAGGGCCCCTATTCCCAGGCTGGCTTCTGTCTAAAAGGAGCTCCTGTCCCAGGCTGGCCTCTGTCTAAGGGGAGCCCTTGTCCCCAGGACAGCCTGTGTCTAAGAGGAGCCCCTGTCCCCAGGCAAGCTTGTATCTAAGGGGGACCCAGTCTAAGGGGGGCCATTGTCCCCAAGCCGGCCTCTGTCTAGGGGAGCTCCTGTCCCTAGGACAGCTCATGTCTAAGGGTAGCCTCTGTCTACAGGCAGGTCTCTGTCTAAGGGGAGCCCCTGTCCCCAGGCTAGCCTCTAAGGGGAGCCCCCGTCCCTAGGCTGGCCTCTAAGGGGAGCTCCCGTCCCCAGGCTGGCTTCTGTCTAAGGGGAGTCCTATCCCTGAGTTGACCCATGTCCAAGGGGAGCTCCTGTCCCCAGGCCGGCCTCTGTGTAAGGGGGGCTTCTTTCTCTGGGTTGGCCTCTGTCTAAGGGGAGCACCTGTCCCCATGCCGGGCTCTGCCTAAGGGGGAGTCCTGTCCCTAGGTTGGCCTGTGTCTAAGGGGAGCCTGTCCCCAGGCCGGCCTCTGTCTAAGGGGAGCCCATCTCCAGGCCGATCTCTAAGGGGAGCCCCTGTCCCCAGGGTAGTTTGTGTCTAAGTGGAGCCCCTGTCTCCAGACCAGTCTCTGTCTAAGAGGAGCTCCTGTCCCCAGGATAATCCATGTCTAAGGGGAGCCGCTGTCTCCAGGCTGGCCTCTATCTAAGGGGAGACCCTGTCTCTAGGCCGGCCCCTGTCTAAGGGGAGCCCCTGTCCTCAGGCTGGCCTTTGTCTAAGAGGAGCCCATCCCCAGGACAACCCATGTCTGAGGGGAGTCCCTATTCCCAGGCTGGCCTCTGTCTGAGGGGAGTCCCTGTACCTAGGGCAGCCTTGGTCTAAGGGGAGCCCCTGTCTCTGGTTCGGCCTCTGTCTAAGGGGACCCCCTGTTCCCAGGCCTGCCTGTGTCTAAGTGAGGGGGCCTCTGTTCCCAGGACGGTTTGTGTCTAAGGGGGGGCCTCTGTCCCCAGACTGGCCTGTGTCTAAAATGAGCCCCTATTCCCAGGCTGGTTTCTTAGGGGAGCCTTTGTCACCAAGTTGGCCCATGTCTAAGGGGAGCCCCTGTCCCCCGGCCAGCCTCTGTCTTAAGAGGACCCCCTGTCCCCAGGACAGCCTGTGTCTAAGGGAAGTCCCTATCCCCAGGCTGGCATCTATCTAAGGGGAAACCCTGTCCCCAGATCAGCCTCTTGTCTAAGGGGAGCCCCCATCCCCAAGTCAGCCCATGTCTAAGGGGAGTCTCTGTCCCCAGGGCGGCCTCTGTCTCAGGGGAGACCCTGTTCTTGGGTCAGCCCCTGTCTAAGGGGAGCCCCCGTTCCAGGTCACCTGTGTCTAAGGGGAGCCCCCATGCCTGGGTTGGTCTCTGTCAGCCTCTGTCTAAGGGAAGCCTCTGTTCTCAGGCTAGCTTCTGTCTAAGGGGTGCCCCTGTCCCTAGGCTGGCCTCTGCCTAAGGGGAGCCTCTATCCCCAGGCCAGCCTCTGTCCCCAGGCCGGCCTCTAAGGGGAGCCCTTATTCCCAGACTGGCCTCTGTCTAAGGCGAGCCCCTGTTCCCAGGCTGATCTCTATCTAAGGGGAGCTCCTGACCCCAGGCTGGCCTGTCTAAAGGGAGCCCGTCCCCAGATCGGCCTCTATCTAAGGGGAGCCTGTCCACAGGCTGGCCCCCGTCTGAGGAGAGCGCCTGTCCCCAGGCCGGCCTCTGAGGGGAGCCCCTGTCCCCAGGCCAGCCTCTGTCTGAGGGGAGCCCCTGTCCCCAGGCCAGCCTCTAAGGGGAGCTCCTGTTTCCAGACTGGCCCATGTCTAAGGGGAGCCCTGTCCCCAGGCCAGCCCCATCTAAGGGGGAGCCCTAATCCCCAGGCTGGCTTCTAAGGGAAGCCTCTGTCCCCGAGTTGGCCCATGTCTAAGGGGAGCCCCTGTTCCCCAGCCAGCCTCAGGGGAGCCCCTGTCCTAGGCTGGCCTTAAGGGGACCCCCTGTCCCAGGTCAACCTATCTCTAAGGGGAGCCTCCAGGTTGGCCTGTCTCTAAGGGGAGCCCCTGTCCTTGGGTCAGCCTGTCTCTAAGCAGAGCCCCACCCCCAGATTGGCCTCTCTCTAAAGGGAGCCCCTGTCCCCTGCCTGAGGCAGCACCCAGCGCCTTCCCCCTTGAGCCACTACAGCACTTTGGAGCTGGTGGAAAGGGCGCTTCCTTTAGAAACCTCCAGCCGGGCTCGGTGGCTCAGCCTGTAATCCTGCGCTTTGGGAGGCTGAGGTGAGTGGATTGCCTGAGCCCGCAGGTTTGAGACCTGCCTGGGCAACTTGGCGAGACCTCATCTCTACAATAAATCAAAAAATCAGCCGGGCATGGTAGTGTGTGCCTGTAATTCCAGCTACTCGGAAGGCTGAGGCAGAAGGATCGCCGGAACCCAGTGGGTCGAGGCTGAAGTGGCCGGGAGCGGCCACTGCACTCCAGTCTGGGCGACAGAGTGAGACTCCAACTCCAAAAAAAAAAAAAAAAGAAACCTCCTCCAGCTTGTGTGATTGGCTAAGTGTGGGCACTGGCAGCAGGTTTGTGCCTCTGGCCACCTGACAGCTTGCTCTAAATTGAGGGAAACAGCTCCCCCTGGTGGGGCTGCTGTCCAGGCTACTGCCCAGGTGCAGAGCTATGGTTGCAGATTCCAAGTAGTGGGCTGGGATTGTGGGCTGTGGCCTCAGCTCACCTGGCTCAGAGACCTGAGCTCCGTGGAGAGATGCCAAGGGCAGCTCAGGCTGCTGGGCGCCCATACGGGAGTGTCTGCCTTGTAACAGGCATTTGGGACCCTTTTTTCTCTTTTAAAGAATCCCAGAGGGCCACAGTTACCAGAACAGCAGCGTAGACCACGTGCCAAGCAGCGCCATCGACCAGAGCTTCTGGGAGACCTTTGGGAGCACTGAGCCCCCGCGGGCCCGCAAGTCCCCCAGCAGTGACAGCTGGACCTGTGCCGACACCTCGACGGAGCGGAGGAGCTCGGACAGCTGGGAGGTGTGGGGCTCGGGCTCAGCCTCCACCAACAAGAACAGCAACAGTGATGGCGGGGAGGGCTGGGAAGCCAACAAGAAGACAGCACCACCTGCGCCCACTGATGACGGCTGGGACAACCAGAACTGGTAGGGCCGGCCCGGCCCCCTCAGGACTGCGTGTTTGCACTCTGCCCCCATCGTCCCTCTTCCATTTGACCCAAGACACAGTGACTGCAGCAAGGACAATGCCACAGGAGGCAGGACTCTGGTGAGACTCGGACCAGGGTTGCTGCCCAGTATGGGGGTCTCAGCGTGTGCGGACAGCTCACCCTCTGTGGCTTCTTGGGAGTTCGCATCCCACCCCCTCACCCCCATCCCGGGTGTCTCTGAAAGAATTTCCAGCCTTGGGCTGGGGCACAGCCTTGGGACCGTAGCCTCCTGGGGGTAGGATCAGCTGTGGGCTATGCGCCAGCTGCGAGTCTCCCCTTCTCACGGGAGTACTCTTGAATGTGGAGTTCACTCCGGCCCTCGTCTCCTGGAGGATAGGCCTGGAATCAGGTGGAAACGCAGAAACAACCCATAGCTCACACTGCCGCCGCCCACCAACCCACATTGGCTCCTAGGCCTGAGTCATGAACTCGCCTGACTAACCTGTGTACCCCAGTGGCTTCCCATGTGTGCCCTACCCAGCCTGGCCTTACCAGCGGACCCCTGCTGATGGCTGCACGCACTCTGTGGGCCCAGGCTCAACCTGACAGCAAGTCTTCCTCAGCACGTGGCCATCCTGGAGGAAGTGAGGGACATGCCTGGGAGTCTGGTGGTGGGGAGGGCCAGGAGGAGACCTGTGTAGGGCCCTGCACCAGATTCTGAAGCCACGAGCACCCTTCTCCCTGGGACAGCGAGGCAGGCCTGTCCGCACCGTGCTTGGGCCTGCCCCGCCACCTGTTTGGCATGTAGCTGTCCTCCACCAAGTATCCTCTTGCTCTGTTACTAACCAACCTAGAGCCCACCAGGCTTGAGCCTGTTGGATGGCACACCCCTGAAGGCGTGCCCACCTTGCCCTCCGTAGGACACAATGACAGTGCTGTGACTTCCTGCATCCTTTCTGTGTGACCCTGGGTTTGACCTGCAGCGCATGTACCAGACCCCGCCTGTGTGCTTCATGTGGTGTGCCTGCCCCTTCCCCAGCCACCATCTGCAGGGTCCTGGTTTGTCCTGGACTCCTCAGCTCTTGTGCCCATCCTGCCTCAGGGATTCACAGCCGCCTGCATAATGGGACAGGCCTTAGATTTAGGAGATCCCTCCTGGGGCCTCATCCTCCTCTTAGGTGGCCAGGTGTGGGTGCCCATGCCCCTGGCTGCAATCGGAGGGCCTTGGTCTGCTGTCATTGTGTTGGAGGTCAGAGGTCAAGATACTGAGAAACCACAGGGCAGATGAGAGCCTGCAGTGGCTGCACAGGACACATGCTCTGGAGGACTGAGGACTGAGCTAGAGAAGGGTCTTCATCAGGCCTGATGGGTCTCTCTTGAGCTGGGACTTGAGGCTCAAAGTTAGAGGGGTTCCTGGACCCCATTGGGACAGGTAACCTGAGGAGGGTGGAGTCTGTCCTAGGTGTGTGGGGGTGTCCCACATTCCTGTTCCACGCCAGCACTCTAACATCAGGAAACAGGTCTTATTCCCGCTCAGGAAGCTGCCTGTCCTGGGGCCTTGTTCTGTTGGGATGGGGGTGGCTCCTCTGCTCCAGGGAGGCCCTTTTGATGCAAAATGAACAGAAGACAATGTGGGGAGGTGTTCCACCCACCTGCATGTGGTGACCAAGACCCCTCAGCAGGAGCTGGCACCTTCTGTTCTGCAGGTGCTGATGGGGACAGGGTGGGACCCTCCTGGCGTGCGGGGGCCTGGACATGGGTGTTGACCCAGCAACATTCCAATAAAGCACGTGGAACATGCAGGACATCTGGTGACCCCAAGGGCCCCCGAGGAGGCAGAGGTGGCACACCCTGGGAGCCTGGGGCTGTCTCCCTCCCCACTCCTGCCCCACCACTGGGTGTCATGGGGACCCTAGGAGAGGCCCACTGTTCACCTGGACCTCCTGGAGAGTCCAGGCTGTGTCCCATCTGAGCCAGGCTTCAGGGAGGCAGTGACCCAGCAGGATGCTGAGTGGCCATGGCATGCCCCTCTGGGAGACCAGTGAGCCTGGGATTGGGGTGGCAGGGCACCCTGGAGAGCTGGGCAGCAGCCCCTGGAGTAGGGACAGCACTGAGCCTTGGCTTCAGAAGGGCTCGCCTCCCAGAGAGACCTGAAGCACCACACCTCAGGTGAGTGGTGGGAAGGTGCTGCAGCATCATGGCCTTTGCCCTCTGTCACAGCTGCATCCCGAACTTTAGGGTGACTGGTCAGGAGAGGCCCCGTGGATGCTCCTGCGCCAGGTACCTGACTGGCAGCCTCCCTGGGATGGTTCTGTTCTGGGCAGTGCTTTAGGGCTGAGGCTAGAGCTGCTGGACCGGTGAGGGCGTGATCCTGGCCTGCAGCCCCACCAGGCTCTGACTGCCCCTTGGGCTGGCCCCTGCCATCTGACCACTCCCAAGGCACCAGCCTGGCCAGCGGATGCTCTTCAAGGCCTTCATCTGCCCTTTCTGCAGTTTTCATTAAAGCATCCCAAGCTGTCCCCGGCCTCTGCTCATCGCACCTGGTCAGTTGCTCCCAGTGGGTGTCCCCCATCCAGTGAGTCCCCATTGCCTGCCACCCCATGCATGTCTGAGTGGGGTGGTAGCAGTGAGGCCACTTGGGGAAGGATGGCCCTGATCTGTTATGATCCAGCAAAATGGAGGGTGGGGCTCAATCTCCAGAGCACTGCGGCCACGGGAGGGTGGGAGGCTGCACAGGAACCTTCCCTGAGGACTCTGGGGCCATCCCCCCCATTGCTAGGACTGCCCAGAGAGGGCTGTTGCGCTGGGCCACAGGCACACCAGGGGTTCCTGTGGGGTGAGGACCTGGGTGGGGCCACAGTGCCTGGTGGGGAGAGGACGATACTCTCCTGGTCCCATCCCACCCCTCAGTGTGACTTGGGGCCCTCCTCAGGCCTGCCCCAGCCCAGGTGCTGCTACATGGGCTGAGGGGCGCTTCAGGGCATGCCCTTGTGGAGTTCCTGATCGAGGGTCTCTCCAGTGGGCCTCACTTTAGCTGTGGTGCTCTGTGGGTGATCACCTGCCTCGGGCTCCTCTTCAGCTGCCCAGGAGGTGGGCTGGGGCAGGACAGGTGCCAGGAGGGACTGGTGGGCCCCGCCTAAGCCCTCCTGCAGCCCAGGAAGCTTGGAGTGTACCAGCCCTCTTGTGCTGTTCCCTGAGTGCAGGAGGCAGGGTCTGGGGATCAGCCTCCAGGGTCCTTAAAGTAGCCCCACATGGGATGCTTGGTCTTAGGTCAAGATTCCTAAAAGCATAGGCTGGGACAGGGTTCAGGTGATCTTGGACAGGCCTGCAAGAGGGTGTGTCAGGGAAGCATCTCGGCTTCACCTGCTGTGAGCTCCAGCGTAAGTTGCACCAGGGTTTGTGCTGTGAGGCCAGGCGGCTCCACCCAGCATGGGTCAGTCACTGGCTGAGAGCAGCCAGGGTCCCTGTGCAACCTTCCGGGCATCCCCTGCAAGGGCAGTTCTGGGTAAGGGGCAGCCCTGGGGAGGGGCAGTCAGCTTAGAGAAGGGGACCTCAGAGTCCCAGCAGCAGTTGCTGCGGTGGACATAAGTATTGCTGTGGCCCAGTGGAACATGGGCTGTCTACTGTTTTCCAGGGATGGGGTCTGGGGACAGAGTCCTCTCTGTTCCCAGGGCAGCCCAGCAGGGAGGTCTGCAGACCTCAGCTCCTGCTGGACCCAGATCCACCGCCTGGGCAGGGCCAGCACCAGGTAGGGTGGGGCCTGGAGTCAGGGTGGGGCCTGGCATTGGGTGTGATCTGTGGTGGGTGGAGTAGAGTCAGGGCGGGGCTTGGTGTCAAGGTGGATCCATGGGAGGGAGGGGCCAGAGTCAGGGCTTGGCCTGTGGTGGGTGGGATCAATAGGGCGGGGCCTGTGGTGGGAGGAACCTGTTTTGGGGGGCAGGGCATGACCTCTGGTGGAAGGGACCTGAGTCAGGTGGGGCCTGTCATGGGAGGGGCCTGGAGTCAGGGCTTGACCTGTGGTGGGCTGTGTCTGTCTATGGTCAAGGTGGGTCCTGTGGTGGGAGGGTCCTGGAGTCAGGGCATGGCCTTGGTGGGAGGGTCCTGGAGTCAGGGTGGCCATGATGGGAGGAGCCTGGGTGAAGTAGGGCCATGGGTCCAGCTAGGACAGAGCCTTTGGGGGGCCTGGGCTGACTGAGGTTGCAGCAGGGGTGGGGTGGGAGTGGGCCAGTGTCTGACTGGTCTAGGTCCGGAGCCCCATGGGGTTCAGCCAGGTCAAGGGCCTGTTTTCTGGCCCGGTCACCTGCCAAAGCTCTGTTCACTAGAGTCAGTCTTCAAGGAATACAGGGGGCTGTCAGGGTGAACTGAGAGGGCTTCTCTGAGGGCAGAGGGGAGGGTGTTAGAAAAGTGGATGGAGCATCTGGGCAGTGTGGGCATGGGCCTGAGGCCTGGGGAGTACTGGGTCTGGGGCCCAGGATATCTGGAGGTGGGGCAGGGTGGATCCTGGTGTGGCGCTTCCCCTGGTGGCCACATTGGGATCTGGTGCTGCTCCAGCCTGTGCCTCCAAATGGGATGCCAGAGTTCCCTTAAGTCCGGCACCCATGGCGGCGTTTACATCTGCGTGGCCTTCCCTGTGAGCTCCTCTCTGTGGGCCAGACCCTCTGGGACTGAGCCGGAGAGGCGTATGGCCTATGCTGTTCTGGCTTCTCTGCTCCCTTGGGGTGGGGCGTCTTTCATCTGGGATCACTATGCCCCTGATTCTTGGAGAGACGCCCCAGATGGCAGGAAGCAAGGAGGAGAGGGAAGTGGAGGGGAGGGGGTGGAAGGGAAGGGGCATGGGGGCGGGCCAAGGGACTCTCATAAGCTCCAGCCTCCCTGTGGCCTCAGCAGGACAGGAGAGGACCAGCGCCCGGAGAGTGAGGGACACTGTCCTGGGAACAGGAGGTTGGTGATGCCTGTGATCCTGGGGCCAGCGGATGAGGGGGCCACCGTGGGATCCCTCATGTCTGTGATCTGAGGATGACTGTGACCTTCAGAAGGACTGGGTTGGGAGCCAGGCAGGACCAGATGCCTGGGGTGGGAGGGGCAGCAGGCTGCAACCAGTGCAGTGGGAGGACAGGCACAACGAGCCCTCTGGGGATCTCTGGGCGTGGAGGTGTGAGGAGGTGGTCATTGCTCTAGCAGAGAGACCTGGTGTTCAAGCCTGTGGCCCTGGGCCAGGCCCACTGAGTCAGGTTTATGGATGGGAAGGTTGGGAGGGTCTAGGGACTGGGGGGAGGGGCACTCGGGGCTGTCCCCTGGCACCTTTGTGATTAGGTTGCACCTTGTCCGCCTGGACCTCATGGCCAGCCAGGGGTCCGTGATTGAACTCCTGGGGGCTACCAACACAGGTGTGCCAGCTGTGGTCTTCCCACTGGTGAGGCCTTGCCCTTGGGAAGGGGCTAGTTCCCTGACGGGACACTACTTATTGCACCCTGGAGGGTCATGCATGGGGGGGTTGCTTTGGCTGGGTGGGGCTGGGGGCCACTGGGTCACAAAGGACCTAGAGCCCCACCATGTGGCTTGGCACAGAGGGGTATGGCCCAGCTGGGGACACCCTGCCACCTCCTGAAGGCATATGAGCCAGCACAGGCCATGGAGACCCAGAGTGGAGGCCAGCTGCATGTCTCTCCCTCAGCCCTGGGCACATGGCTTTTTTCCCCCACCCCCCCCTCACCAAGTGGCGCCTCTGGGCATGGGTCCCTGGGTCCCCTGACCTGTGTCCCCCTCAGCTGCTCCTCAGAACTTCCCAGATCTGACCTCCAGCCCCTTCCAGCAGGCAGGCACCCACTGTGGACCAGGCTCTGCCCTTGCCTGGGCCTCAGAACTGTCCTGCCCATGGCACACATACCCTGTGCCCCTGGCTGAAGCCCCCAGACCTGCCCACTCCCACCTGGGCTGCTCTCGCTCACCAGGACAGGTCTCAGAGGGTCCTCCTGCCTCCAGGGTGAAGCTGGGCCTGCAAGGACTCCACACATGTCCGACGATCACATGCATGACTGCAGTCTTCACAGCCTGAGGACCCCTAGAGCAGGAGCCTGGTGACATGCCTGTCCCAGCACTATCTGCATGGGGTGTGGGGTGGCTGGGAGCTCAAGGTTTTGCCATTTCTGAGCAGTCCCCTGCTGTGTGCACCCCCTGTGTGCGCCTCCTTGAGCCTTGGGCAGCTGGGGGTGCAACATCCCCTGGCTGATGGGCCGCAGTCTTCTGGGCCCCACACATGTATGTGGGTGCCCCCTATGGGGCTTCCCCGTGACCCTGGAGGACATGGATGGGGAAACCCCAGCTCTGTAGCCCCGGGGTGGTGGTTGAATGGTTTGAGGGCGGGCGCTGCAGGCATGGCCTTTCCACAGGGCGGGTGCCATGAGTCTCCGCACTCCCCTGCACCTTGGCTTCTGGCTTTGGCTGTGGCTGGGTGCTGCCCGGGGACATGGACAGAGACAAGGTAAGGACATGGACTCCCTGGCCTGCCCAGGCCACGCCTGCCAGCAGAGCCCCCAGCAGACGAGCCCACGCCTGGCATTCCCACTCCACCCGCTGGGCTCGAGGCAGTTCTGATGACAGACGTGCAGGCAGGGGCAGCTGTGCCCTCAGCCTCGTCTCAGGTCTCAGCCTCGCCTCTGCCTTGCCACCTTCAGCCGCAACTCTGGACACTTTTGTGTGTTTTCTGTGGTGGGTTTTTTTTTAATGCTGATACTGCGCACTAAATTCTCTATTGTGTGAGGGTTTTGCCCAGTTATTCCACAGACACCTTCTCGGTGTTCTATTTTCAAGAACACCAACCTGGGGGAGGGTGGAGCACCCTCATCTCCCCACCTGCCTGGCCACACACAGTCCCGGGCACTGCCTGGCTTAGCAGCTGGCTTGAAAGCCCATGGGTCACACCCAGCCTTACCCAGGCCCCAGCATTCATGCTCACACCAGGTTTCCTTCTCTGGTGCGTCTTTGGGCGACCAGGTCCATGAAGGGCGCTTCAACCTGGCCACTTCCTGTCAGGGCAGCCCTCACTGCACCTCCCAGGTTGGGGGCAAAGGTCTCTGTGCCAAGAGGCTCCCTTCTGCCCATGGAGAATGGTGGCTGGATCTGGAGGTGAGTTTCTGTGTTGGTCGCTTGAGGCTGGGTCACTGGAACCTGCTTCCTGGGCTGGCCTACCCAGCCCTCTGCACTCTCAGGGCCCAGCACATCTGGCAGCCACAGGGCAATGTGTGGACTCTGTGGGTGAGCAGGCATGAAGCAGCCACCCCTCGCAGTGCAACGTGGTGTCTCAGGACAGCAGGGAAGCTGACGGTGTGATAGGGCCTCTTCTGGCCACCTTGTGTGAGTGGCACATCCACTGCTGCCTCCTGGTGTCCCACTGTTCTTCACAGTGTGGCACCTCCTTAGACTCTGCAGTCAGGGTGAAGGCCATCGTGTGGCGGGTCCCCGGTGCCCTGGCTTGGACAAGGGAACACTGATGGGCCCACGTGAGCTGAGGTGCCAGCTGGGAGGAAGCCTCTGTATCAGCTTGAGCCAAGTTGCTAAGTGAATCCACAGGGCAGCTTGGGGTCGGGAGATGGCACATGTGTGGCTCCACCCCACCTAGGCCCCTCACGAGGCCCCTGGGCTCCATCGAGTCCCCAGAAGGGTTGGGGACATGAAGTCCCCATGGGATAGTGGGGCCTGGCGAGGTGGGCCATGGTCTGGGCTGACAGCCAGCTCCTGGGAGGCCCTTCCCACACCCCGCTGTCCTCCCAGGCCCCACCAAGGCCTCAGTGGGTCATCCCCAGAAGGGAGCCATGTGTCACCCCATAATCGGGGGCAGAGTGGAGACAGAGGGCTCTTCACGGCAGACGGGTCCTGCTCACAGCTGGCTGCAGGCCCCGCATCCTGCACATTCCTGCCTTTCAGTGCGATGCTCCCAGGCAGCAGCCCATCTGGGGACTGGCCAGCTGCCTCCCACTCTGAATGGGTCCTTGTGTCCGGCCCGGTGCCCCCAGCCTCTGCCCTCCCTGAACACAGCTCCCAGCGGGCCGGTCTGAAGAAGCCCATCTCTGTTCCCATTTCCAAAATTAGCTGCCCCCTACAGAGCCCAGAAGCCTCAGAGCCAGGGAGGTTGGCCAGCCCACCACCCCCTCCTCCTCCCAGATCGTGTGGGCACCCATCCCCCACCACAGGAGACTACCATGAGGCCCAGGTGGCACAGACCAGGCACAATCGCACACACGTGCATGGTGTGGACACATGCATATGACGCCACACACCCACACTTCCAATTTGGGATTCTGCAGCCCGACTGTCCGTCAAGGGGTGTGTCAACCTAGGGCAACCTTGGCAGCTGAGGGGTCTGCAGCTGCACAGCTGCCCCTCCTGCAACCCGAACTCAGGCCAGGAAACCTGGGCTAACTGCCAAGGCCAGGCGGTGGGCAGTGAGTGTGGGCTTGGGGTGGGGGACATCGAAGGAGCCAAGTGGGACCTCCCCAGGTGGGACTAGGGTCCTTCACCTGGAAACTTCCAGAGTGGTCCTGGTACTGGGCCCTGGGGGCCAGTTTCTTCCCGACCCAGGTGGGGCTCATCTTCCCAAGATTCCCCCCAAGAGGGCAGAGTCCCCTCAGGCTCTCAGTGTGGGGTTGTGTTCCCTTCAGAGACCCCCCAGGGTGGGACTGTGGCCCCTCAGACCCTTGGGAGGCCCAGGCTGGTTGGGTGCAGGAGGAGGCTGGCTGGCCCCAGGGCTTGGTCCCGACCACTCATTTTGTTTTTAGTGGGCAGCCGCCTGAGGCTGTCAGTGCTGACTGAGGACCGGCTGCAGATGAAGTGGACGGAGTCAGAGGGGTGCATCCTTGGCTATCTGGTACAGGTGACACCTGTGGCAGGTAAGGGCCTGTGCCCAGCCCCCTTATTAAGACAGTGCTGAGCCAGTCACCTGCTGTTACCTGCTTGTTAATCACACATTTGGGCAGGTGGGCTCAGGAATATCATCGACCTGGGTTCAAATGTCGACTCTGCCACTGAGTAGCTGTGTGGCTGGTCCTCAGAGCCTCAGTTTTCCCATCTATAAAATAGGTCTAATAACACTGTGAAGATTATTTGGCTTGATGCCTGTGAAGCGCTTAGGATGGTGCCAGGCACAGCAAATGCTCAATGAAAGTTAGCTATTGGCTGGGCATGGTGGCTCACACTTGTAACTCCAGCACTTTGGGAGGCCAAGGCAGGAGGATAGATTGAACCTAGTAGTTTGAGATCAGCTGGGACAACATGATGAGACCCTGTCTCTCCAAAAAAAATAAATTAACCAGGTGTGTGGTGCACACCTGTAGTCCCAGTTACTTGGGGGGCTGAGTCTGGAGGATCACTTGATCTCAGGAGGTTGAGGCTGCAGTGAGCTATGGTTGTGCTTCTCCAGCCTGCATGACAGAGTGAGACATTGTCTCCAAAAAAGAAAAGAAAAGATAAGAAAAATGTTATTAATGGTAACAACAACAGAAATGCTGATTCAGTGACTCCTGCATATTCCACTTGCTCGATCGATCAAGCGTAGGGGTTCCACCCGGCTGCATCAACTCCCCAACAGATTGGGTGCAGGGACGAGGGCAATGCCCTCCATACCAGGAGGACCTGGGTCAGCTCTTTCCAGGTCCTTTCTCCTTTTCTCCCCGTCTGGCATTTGAGACCCAAAGAAGCCCCACGTGCTTAAAGTACCTCACTAAGTCTGAGCACTGCCTTCTGGGCTCTGTTTCAAGGTTGTTTCTTCTTGCCCTCTGAGAATGACTGCATCCTTTGAAGTTGTTTGTCTTTAATACTTGAGACTCAGCCCTAATTTAGATCCGTGGGATCTCCAGGTGGAAGGCACTCCGGGCAGGTGCACTGTGCAGCCATGGGTGGGGGCTGGCAGCAGGTGGGGCCTGGCCCTGGCTCTTCCTGCTTGGACCCAGTCCCTTGCATTCCCGCCCTCTCCCTGGGCAGCCCCCTCTCTGTACCTTGAGCCTGTGAGGTAGTGGGGGCTCTCACAGCCAAGCACCCTGAGGGCTTAAGGGCTCTCGTCCTGTGACCAGTTCCGGGGAAGTTTGAAAGTAACATCAGATGCCTTCTCTCTCAGTCCTACCAGGAGTGCAGATCTCCCATCAGACCTGTCCCTGCCTCCCTCCTCGGCCTTGGGGAGGACCTGGGAGAAGGAGGAGCTGGCAGGGGCACATGTGTGCACCTGCCTGGTGGCCTCTACAGCTCCTCCTCCCCCACCAGGGGACTCAGAGCAGGAGGTCATGCTGACCACCAAGACCCCCAAGGCCACGGTGGGGGGCCTGAGCCCCTCCAAGGGCTACAGTGTGCAGATCTTTGAGCTCACAGGCGCCGGACGTGTCCTGCTGGCCCAGAGGGAGTTCGTGAGTAAGTCCACTTACTGCCCACCTTGCTGGCTCAACCCCAGTGGAGGGTGACACACTGGATGACAGCCGGGCTAGGGCTGTGCTCTTGGGGGGTGTCCCTGGCCTCTGCCCCTGCCCCGCAGGGTGGGTTCTCACAGCTCTCTATCTCTCTAGTTGAGGGTCTGAAGAGCAACCCCCTGGCCAGGAGCAGCGGGAGGCCCATAGCGGCGGCCCTAGAGCCCACCCCCTCCCTCATGGGGAGCCCAGACCCGAAGCAGACTTCAGACCCCCAAGTTGCCTTCACACCAAACCAGGACCTGCCCATTCCTGGTGGGTCAACGTGGAGTGAGAGTAAGTTTCCTGGGGGCAGGGGTGACCTGCAGCTTCTCACATGGGGCCAGGAAGTTCTTCCTTGTGTCTGACCACACACTCTCCAGCTTTAGCCTACACTTGCTGACACCCTGGAGTGTGTGGTCCCACTACCTCTAACACCCTTGAAGGCCCCAGCCCAGGAAGTGAGAAGTGATGACTGTCTCCCTACCCCTTGCGAGCAGAGAGGGTCAGAAGCACTCTGAGCAGAGAGCCTGTCCAGAGGCCCTGGGGTAAAGGCCCCTGCTCAGCCACCCCCAGACCTGGAGAGTCAGAGCCACTCCATGAGAGAGGAGAAGCTGGGTGAGAGGCAGGGCTTGGGTGGGATGATCCAGGGCTGCCCAAGAGGTCCGGTGGGCGGGCCTGTGCTTCCCACAGAACTGGGACATCCATGACGCCATCTCCTCCATCACACGTGGGTCTCCAAAGGGAGGGCTTGACCTCCCCGCAAAGCTGAAGATGAAGCAGTATCTCTCTCCTCAGACGTGGGCATGTCCCTCTCCTCTGGGGTCTTCCTGACGTGTCTCCCTTGGACTTGGGCCCTACCAGGATGGGGTCCTCACTCATGCAGGGCTGAAAGGGCGGGCTTTGCTCTCCCATTAGACTGGGATCTCACCTGTGATGGCATCACAGTGCTGACCTCAGGAGTGTCCCCGGGGCCTGGCCCAGGCTCTGGCACTGTCTGTGCAAACCTTGGAGAACCCCAGGCCAAGCCCCCCACTTCCTCTCCAAACCCAGGGTCCTCACGTCAGCAAGGCCTCAGCCCAGAGCTGGTCAAGGACAGTTCTCACAGGGGCTCCACCCAGGCTGTCCACAGTGTCCCCCAACCCCCATCAGCTCCCATGGGTATCTGGGCCTGAGGTCTGGAGGCTGTGTGGAGATCTGCTGGCTCATGGGGAAGGTGGACCCCTTGTAGACAGTCACGTCCTGTGGCCAGCCAAGGCTACCAGGTGGTCCCACCATTAGTGCTGGCTGGACCAGGGTCTGTGTGGGGCTTTCTGGGTCTCCCTGCTCCCAGACTTGGCCCTGCCTGCTATGCTTTCAAGGCCGGAGCCCCAGGAGGTGACTGGAGGTTGGAGCTTGGCCCAGGGTAGCCGCAAGTCTTGGCCAGCAATGGGTCTTGACCAGTTCCTCACTTCTGTGCACCCTCCAGCTGGCCCCCAGTTCCGCTGTCTGCCCCCCATGGCTGCCGACATGGTTTTCCTGGTGGATGGGTCCTGGAGTATCGGCCACAGTCACTTCCAGCAGGTCAAGGATTTCCTGGTCAGCCTCATTGAGCCCTTTGAAATTGGGCCAGATAAAGTCCAAGTAGGTGGGTGCTGCTCACACCCCAACCCGGGGTGGCTCACAGTCCCTGCCCTGATCCCTGAAGGAAGTAGGAGGAGCCAAGGGGGACAGCACACAGGAAGGAGGGACTCCGCTAACCAGGATAGCCTGGACCAGCACCCCCCAGCTTCCCCGCACCTGCCAGGGCCCCCTCCTAGGCGAATGGGACGGCTGCCCCGCGGGGGGCATTCCAGTGACCACTCTGAGTGAAGGCCTCATTCTATAAGCATCCTCCCCTTGGATGGGGCCGCCATGGCCAGGGACCCCGCGGACGTGTGCAGGCTTGCGGTCTTGGCGCCACAGCCCTGGAAACTTAGCCCGGCGGTCACGCCCGTGCCCCCAGGCCTGACTCAGTACAGCGGAGATCCCCAGACCGAGTGGGACCTGAACTCCTTCAGCTCCAAGGAGCAGGTGCTGGCCGCCGTGCGCAGCCTCCGCTACAGGGGAGGGAACACGTTCACAGGTGCAGAAGAGGATCTGTTCGACCGCGCCCTGCCCGCTGCCTCAAGCCCCGCCCTACTGCCCCAAAGTCCTCCTCCACCTCCGCCAAGGCCGGGCCCCGCCCCGTCCACCCCCTCAAGCCCCCGCTGCCCAAGGCCTTTCCTCGCCTTTCCAAGGCCCCGACCCGCCGCCCCAAAGCTTCGCCCCCCGTC